TGGATGGAGAGTGCGCCTGATTTATATCTCGTGGTTAGCTGCACGGTGTAGTCACAGCTGGCGATGGGGGGACGGAGCCTGGGGTTCTTGGACGGATAACGATAAGGCGCAGCAGATGTCCGGCTATAACCGCATCATTTACCCACGTAGAATTGGGATGGAGCGAAATAGCAACTTCCACTTGCAAATGGCAAATGCCATATGAACGCACGGACTGGTTTGCGTCATGCAGAGCCGCTGATCCCTGTGCAGACGTTACAACCCGGCGAGTAAATGTGATTCGCCGAAGCGAGTACATTTTATTTGCAGCTTCAAAGCACCTTCTCATCGCAACCCTGCGGTGTGTTCGAATACAGTCCACAACTGACAAATACCCATCTGGAAATATTTCCCTAGAGAGCGTGATAAACGTTAGTTGTGCTTGCCCTACATGCTCCGCGTTTCCGCATGCCGCGTCCAGCCGACTGTGTTGGTGTAACGGGTTAAGCAATCCGGCAAACGGCCACACACACTACCCATGTCCGTCAAAACTGCGTAGTTCAATTTTCTTATTTATTATGCCCTTATCGAAGTCCTTGTCCACTGGCTCTCCAAACACAATCAACGACATGCGGTGGAACATAATTGCTTGCTACACAATCGTGTTAGGGTGGCATCTGTTTGTCAAGCTCTCACATGATTGTTCTACAACGCGGCAACTAAAATGGGTGTGCGACGAGACCACACGCATCAACTTATCGGAAATTCACGATTTTCCCCCGGTTAGAGAACTGGCTATTTCTAACAGGGTATAAAGTGCACTCTGACCCGTCATCATAATAAAGTGAGAACAACACTCGCTTGTAACAGGTCGTCTACTGCCAAGAGAATGTCTTACAGATCGGCCAAATGAACAACACTCCCATAATTCTTACTGACATGCTGAATCATTTGTTGGCAGTGCTGCTGCGTCACTAAAGCTCGTGCTTCAGACACCGCATGCCCCAAAAAGCGAATCCATTACCCGTTTTTATTCCTAACGCCTTCAGGAACGCCCAGGAGCATCTCTGTGTGCCGTCCCCTCATTGTCTGTTTTACATGAGGCTTTATTTTGCTCCCGATGCCCACGATGGGATTGAGAGCCGGAGAATATGGCGCAAGGCGTAGAAGTCTCGCAGAGCGGTACGGTTCCTCCAGGAAAACGTGCTCGAGGTGCGTGTGACAGGGCGCGTTGTCACAAATCAAAATACACCTTCCCACAAACCCTGCTCCGTTGGTATCAAGCACTTGTCGCAGCCACTGAGCGTACCGTTGCTTGTTGTAACTTCCTCTCAGAACCGAACACGCTATCAAGCCGTTGTTTGTCATGGCGCCGACAAGATGAACATTCGGTCCCCGGCTGTTCGCCACTGTACACTGCGCTCGAATATCACGTTGTGAGGGGCCACGAGTGCGGGAGCAAAATAAGTTGAAGTTGGTCTCATCAATCCACACCCGTTGCCTTCCTTCCATCTCGTAAACCATAAGCTGCAAAACGAATGACCTGTGTCGCTTTTTGTTCTCCAGTGTGTTCATAAACTCCGGAATGGTGTGCAATTTCTTCATTGTTACCAGTCTACCATCCAAGTATCGTGAAACGGTGCTGGTACTTACTGAAACTTCGAACTCGGCCTTCAAACGCAAACGAAGGAGTTCAAGGGTAACGGTGGGCTCTGCAGAAATCTACTGCATCAGATAGTCGACGTGGCTTTCTCCTAGTGCTCTGCGACGGACTCCCCCGTGCTGCCCCAGCGGTTCAGTCGATTCGTATGCCCGTATCCAGTCGCGGCAAGTTTTCAAGTTCATCATCAGTATGCAAGCAACCTACTTCCAATCGTCACCTTCCTCCTACGCTTTCAGTATGACGTTCTTCACCTCCCTCGAGTGCCGAACACCCAAGCCAACCATTGCGTTTGGGTGAATTGCACATTCAAAAGCATACGGCAAACGTATTTGGCTGTGGCTCGTTATACCAACCCAATCGTCATTCAAATCCCTACTCTCGTTCTAATTGGTGGGAATCGCTTCCTAGGACAGAGAAACAAAAGCCCACATGGTGTATCGGCCACCGACACTGTCCCTGGTATGAGCTGAAGCGTCCCACCTGCACCTCTGTGACTTAGTACGTCTGAGGTCCAGTTGGCTGAAGGCGCCGGTCTATACGCGCACACCTGCACAAGTAAGTGGCGCACGCGCGGCTCAAAGTAATTTGGTAAAGACTCATCTTGTATGCCCCTCAGCGCAACTCCTTGGCCGTTCGGACTAATTCAATTGCCCAAGAGGACAACTTGGCCGAAGCATGGTATAGACACCCACGCGCTGTTCCTCAAGAAACTGAAGTTATGTGGCGTGAATTTACAGGGATTACGCCACCAGCTAACTGAGTTAAGTGAACTCAGTTAACTCTGGCCCGCAGGTGTATAAGTATCTGCATTCAAACTGCATGTGCAACTCACGTTATCAATGATCGGAGAAGCCGTCCCAGCACATATCATGGGACATTCAGACCTGCACGGCTTACGCGTGTCCGTGTTTAGATCGTAGGCATCTAAGAGTGTGGGTGCACAATCACCTGAGCAATCACATGCTCTACAGTTTGAGCGGTCCCCAATAACTGAACCCTGCTCACTCGTGCGCCGATACTTCACTGAGTTAGACTGAACCGGCGACCCAGTGGCGGAGCCTTTTGTTGTAACGCTGGGGAGATAAGGCAAAGCAGAGGACAAAGCGCAGCAGTTCATCGTTCCACGATGGAGCTAATGGCGCTTGAGAATTCGAGTACGATCATCCACAGCCCTTGAAAGTCCAGACACATCGGAAAATTTTATTCACCGCCACTGTGTTTCTGCTTTATGACGTGGATAGGCCACTACGTACGCAAGTCAGTACGCTTCAGTTGTTGTACCGGTTGACGAAGCTGGTCTCGCTCTTCCTTGAATTATGTGCCTCTTCCGATTTGCACTTTATTGCTATTAATGTGATCCGCGGTTTGCTTCCATCAGTATAGCGTTGGTGTAGCCCATCGTTATACTGCCACCCCGAGTACTGCCTCCAGGAAACTGGCAAGCGTTGCTGAGGGAGATGGAATGCGCAGTCATCGTAAAGCGATATCCTGAAAGACCTCCTAGTCATTGCTCGTTGTACGTCTGACAAGCATCTTTCTCCCAATTGTACCTCCGGATGTCGCGCTGGTGCGTCAACCGTGGCTCCCATTCCTGTGACTCTCGGCCTTACTACCCAGGGTTTACACGAGATATGTGGTGTGTATGTGCGTGTCATCTGTAGTCTTACTGTAATGGAAGCTTCCTGGAGCTGTCAATAGTCACGGTTACAGAGGAATCTGGAAACTGTGGATTCAATACCGCTCCTTAGTAAACCACCAGCTGCACTACACTGAATGCAGCAAATGATTCCTTATACCCAGAAATTACAAAGTGATCCCATCACATAACTCCAACTGGGGTTGTTCAGTTGGGTGGGAGAGCAAGTCGGTCGTATTTCGTTGTTACCGCAAATGACCCAAATTTTGTAGCCTGTGTTGCACTAGAGTACCAAGACCATGGGGAACACCACTGGCTAAGGACAAGACCGCAACAGTAGGCCTGAACCAAACTACTAACTTCTACTTGTAGTGAACTTGGAGAAGGCATTGGCATGCATCAGTTGGATAAAAGTTCTTACCGAATTCGGATTACTTGCTAAGGACGACGAATTGGATCCTGGAGAATTACATGCCGCAGTGGCGCATGCGATTGCACTTGGTGCGTTGAAGGGTAGCACCCCACCACTTCGTGCGATCAATTGCTGCTGGAACAGCTGAAGTTGCATATTTCGAAATATCATGTTGTTTCGTCCATTCTGCATCAGCTGTTCGCGTAAATGTTGTGGGGGGTGAAGGTATTTGCACGGTGGATCGCGTCGCTGACATTTTCCCTGTGACAAAAATAAGAGGAATATGTCAAGTGCGACAGATAAACCACCGACCAGGCTGTGATAAAGCAAAAACACCCGACTATGAGACGGTTTTGTCAAAAGCAAGTGTCGCGCGCGCGAAAGAATTCCATCGGTTTAAGTCAGTTGTGCGCGGATTGGTTATTACTCACACCAGCCAACCAACCATCTCACACATACCCCCGTGAGTGTTGTATCCTCCTCAATCCACTGATAAAACGGATGCTGTGCAGACGTGGTCCGCTTTGCCGGGATTACGTGTCTCGGGGGCGTGCATTAGTTGATTGGCAGTACTACGTATTAGTGTCAAAGAAAATAAGTGAAAATGAAGCGCGAACTCGTCCCCCGCCGATGAGTGTTTTGTCGCTGGTTCCAACGCCAAAACACTGTCACAGTCGCGAAGACCGCTATGTAGATTGACGCAAGCACAAACAGATCATGTTCGCAGCCAACTGCACCGAAATTCAGCGCTGAGCTGCCGGTTAGATGCTGCCCATGCAGAAGTCAACGAAGACGAATAGTGTAAAATAATACAACATAGTACGACATAATAATTGCTGAAACAGATTGGGGTTGAAAGTTTACATCATTCAGGCGACGACGGGCCGCCGACTGGCGAGCGGTTTGACGTTCAGAGCACTGGCGAAGAATTTTCGTGCGTGCTCAGAGAGAGGCAGCGGGTTAATTACTACTATTTGACGAAAACGAGTCTAAACAAGAAACGCAAGCTTGATCCACAAACCTATATATATATATATATATATATATATATATATATATATATATATATATATATATATATATATATATATATATATATATATATATATATATATATATATATATATATATGGTTGGCGGCATCCGGCTTCGGACTTGCCTGTCACTGTGGTCTCAAGACAGTGACAGGACGCCTGCGCCTACAGAGGGACCATGGGTGGCTTGCGCTGCACTACCCACAATTCCATCTACATACCCCGTATCCAGTGTAAACCAGAAGGAATAAGACCGGGAGACCGTTTCATCAACGGAGTCGGCCCACACTCCTTCACAGGCAAACACAAGCACGCTGTGTTTGGGGAATCAAGCGCACACAAGGCGGTGGCTGGACCGTAGTCCGTTCCACACTGACTGCATGGAACCACTCTTCGAGCCTAGCACGACCACAAGGACCGTGCACCCCGTCCTCTATAACAACGACCCACTGTCTCCTGGAGCCAGTATAGACAAGGTAGTGGCTGATAGACAGGTAGGCACCTTGTGAACATGCACATCCAGCGCAGCCACACCGGGGATATCAAGCAGCAGTCAATCACTTGGAATGACAATATCAGATAAAATAAATGGGATAAGGCATACTGATATGCCGACTTAATTCTGCACTAAACTAGCATATGAAGTAAACTCGTTATCAACATGTTCGCGATAATCTCGAGATGGCAGAAGTAGAGATCAACCGAAAGTAAAAGTAACGAAATTAACCAACTTTCGTTTAGGCTAGGTGCTAAAGTAAATGGAAGCTTATTCAGATAGACCCTAAAATGAGGCAACAAAATGAGTATTAACAAAATATGGCAAACCGATCACCTGAAATAAGGAAAGCCAAGCACGCGGTTAGTAAATCGAAACCGAATCCCAGTACGTATATACATACAACATAAATTCATTATGTACTGATTAGCTTGTGATATTTGCGTGCAATTACGATCATACGCGTCCACATTACTATGGTCATGCCTTTTTAGGCGTCTCGCACCGTCTGGAATAAAATATTTATTCATTTATTTATGAAACGCAGGTGTAGTTATGTAAACGTTAATTACCGCAGCATTTTGAATCGTTGCGCTCATCCACTGACGCTTGTTTTAACGTGTCATTTTGTTAGCCCCAATGGCTGTCTACGGTGGTTGTTTCTGTATGCGGGTCACCGTTCAACTGATGCTAAAGCTATCAGTTTCCTTGCTGTATATACATCAGATTCTTTCCATATTTGTTCAACCATCATTGACTGTGTGGTTGCGCGCTTCAGAGCTGTTTGGTTTGTACAGTTACGCGTCACACTAGAGAAATAACATCGTTCTCCAAAAAACAAACCCTAAATACTGTTGCTTCTCGTTTGTGCTCTGCCTACCGTTAGTGGGTGATATGGTGCAGTCTTTAGGTGTCCGATTTCATTGCATGCATAAGACTCACTAAACTGATAACTTTGAACCATTGCATCCCGGTAACATTCTAAACAATACAAACAGAAGACATGCGCTGCAAGATGACATGATTTCTTGTTATCTGAGCACATGCAAACCATAAACATAACGATCAGCAAAGGAACAAATGAATATCTCGGAATATGCTTGAAACCGACTGGGATCTCATGATTTCAGAAGGTTTTGAATACAAATCGGTTTTTGTAGGATTTTATTATGGCAACTTTACATGTTATTTCCTGTTATTTCTTGTAATCTTCACGTAACTTTCGCATAAAAAGCTAAGCCAATTGTGTACCGATGCACTTGGCCTGAAGAGGCTCTTGCGTCAAGATCGAAACGTTGCCAGAATAAAATCCGACAAAAACCGATTCGTATTCAGAACCTTCGGAAAAAATCAATAGTTTGGACCCCGTCAGAAAGGGAGAGAACACGCATACAGTCCACAACAGATTCACACGCTGTGAAACGAGTGTCACGCGCCCCAAAAGAGCTTGAGCGTGACAGATGGCTGCCTTTTGCAAACAAAGGCCTGCACGATTGCGATTAATGGCCAAGGTCACAGCGAGCTTGAGTAGGTAGGTAACCGTAAACGCCAGGCCAGACTCAGTCAGATAACCTGTAGCCTAATAGTTATGAGCTTGCCACATGTACCCGGGTTCGTTCTATCAGTATGGTAGTAACCTATATCAGAACAAGTTCTCCGATACGCTTACGCAGACACCGAGCTGTACTGCCCAATTGTTTCCGCAGCTACGAACAACTCGGTTAATACAGTGCGTTAAAAAGGCTATGAACACAATGCGTTCGCCAAAGTTACTGCGTTCGACGCATGCCAAACCACTCGAATACGCGACAGCGTGCATGCGAAGGTGCGAACATGGACCGATCAGAAGGACGGCCCGAGTAAACAAAGAGGCGTATAAAAAAGCTGATCACGCGAACAGTCGTATAACTGGGCCACGAAAGATTCAAAAGTTCACTGAGATGTGAGTGTAAATTATATGTTTCGGAGTGATGAACTGTCTCTAATTCCTCGGAATGCTCAACAACTGCTAACAACATCGCAGCGAGATCAACTTGAGCTAAAGTCCGAATAGTCTGCCATCGATAAGGTAGGAATCGTCATACTTGGTGCGAAACTACAGCGTATTCGAATACGTATATGGGAAAATGCAACGCTCGTCTTACCGACGCAGAAGATTGCAAAACCACCACTCCACATCGTGTGAAGATCTCCAATCCACGGTGGGGTCTAGCCCAGCAGTGTCTCGTATGATCAAGTCCATTAACAAAATACTCCTATTCATCTCCTAGTACGGACACTAATGCCTGAATTCCGACCAGTTATCCGAAAAAATGGTTACTGGTAATTCATGCTGGCTGGAAATGCTTCTCAACGCGTGTGTTGAATACTGAATACTGTATTATAGAGCAAGTAAAAGCGAATTCTGTACAACTCTTTCGAAATATGGTGAAAAACGTTATAAAAATCGTCAACCGTGAATGTCGTTATCGTTCTTATGTAACATGTAAAATCTCTGACTAATGGGATTGTAGGACTCCCAAATGTGAGAAGTGTGCAATCACTAGCTGAATCGAATAGTGGTAAAATATAAATCTAACAACGTTTTGAACTGCTGCAAAGATGTTGCCTCCCTCACATGTTCAGGCAAATTGTTCCAAATACTTTCCACTCTCCGTTCAAAGCACAGTGGGTGGGGAACTCGCTTCACATCCCGCACAACAAGTTTCTATTTGTGTCCGCGTGTGCTTCATGACCCTTGTAAGTGCAGCATTGGCCTCAGCATGAGGAAGTCACCGAGATGTAGAATACGGTAAGTCATAAAGGGATCGACTCGCACTCGACGGTAAGACAAGGTGTAGAGTCCTAGTTTCTCGCACCGGTCTTCATACCCCAAGGCACGTAAACTCGGGATGAGCCTGGTAGCAATGTGTTGGACCCGTTTAATCTTTCGTAAATATACTGTCCCCAGTAGCTCAGTGGTCTCAACCACGGACTGGCAACCGTCGAGTTGCAAGTTCGAGCCCTAGCAGGGTCCGATGGAATGCGTACTGCTGACGATTTCCGAAAGGATGAAACACGCTTACAGTGCTTTTCCGGGCGTGTGACGGCTGTATGAGTGAGTCTAGATGTGACTAATTTCTACCTAGAAATATAATGTGTCAGATGTATGCCGTAACGGCGCTTCGATGCCGTACCGTCACCACCAGTCGCAAGCGGGCTGAATATACCAGGAGGACGCCCACCACTACGCGGATTCGAGCCCGCGCCACAAGATTAGGAGCCAAGCTCCTTACCTTTAGGCTACGGGCCGACTTTTTTGTTATTACGTCTCACCAGATAGAGTTAGCAGGCATCGAACCCAGGACAATTGGGATGTTAGTTGTGACCGCTACCCCTAAGTCATCGGTCGCCGACGTATCCTGCATCACGGTTGCTTCTCGTTCCTTGCTGTAAACATCGATAAGTAAAAGGAATGAAACTCCATCAGTTGGGCCCGCAAAATTTACATGAAACCGTGCATATTGAAACAATCACCAAGCGGAATTTTGCCAATCTCTGTATTGGTCGGCATCGCCTCCTCCCCTTCCTCCTCCTCAAAAGATCATATGCAGCGAAACAAAGCAATATAACTACGCCATCATCCCAAGGGCAGTAAACTGCATTCTTTCATCCCATGGCCCTGTTGGGTCTAGTAAAGCAAATGTGCTCCAACCAGCGTAAACTAAAGAGCAAACCATTCCGTTTGGCGA